TGGAAAAATACTGAATGGTGCAGGAATCATCAAAAGAAGATAGAAAAATAACTAAAACTATAATAATTAATAACATTATTAGTCATTAGTAATATTACTATAGTAATGCTATGATGCCTGATACCCGATCAGCCATCAAAGAACAAAAAATCATATCTGTGTGAATGAGGGGAAGTACAGACCGGGGACCCAAAGACCATCTGTAGGCAACTGGACATCCCCTTACAGAAGGATTGCGGGGAGGAGACTAGCCAGTCAGGGTGCAGTGTAACAACAATGAAACATACAACTTTCCTCTAGTTCTCTTCCTCCCCACCACTATCATGATCCCAATTCTACCTTACAAATCTGGCTAGACCAGAGCATGTACACTGGTACAGATAGGATCTAGAAACACAGGGAATCCAGGACAGAGGGTCCCTTCAGGACCAGTGCTGAGAGTGGCTATACCGGGTGTAGGGAAGGTGGGATAGAAAGGGGGAACCGATTACAAATATACATATAACCCACTCCCTGGGGGACAGACAACAGAAAAGTGGGGGGAGGGAGACATTGTACAGTGTAAGATATGACAAAATAATAATAATTTATGAATTATCAAGGGTTCATGAGGGAGGGAGTAGTGGGGAGGGAGAGAAAAATGAGGAGCTGATACCAAGGGCTCAAGTAGAAAGCAAATGTTTTGAGAATGATGAGGGCAACAAATGTAAAAATGTGCTTGACATACAATGGATGTATGTATCGATTGTGATAAGTTGTACGAGCCCCCAATAAAATGATTAAAAAACATATAAGTATCTAGTAATTCTAATATATTAATTGTATTATTAACTATGTGGCAGATATTAATATATTATTAATTATGAATAATACTATTATTAATTATTCTGGGAGAAAAATTAGGCTTTCTACTTCCATAAAGTTACAGTCTCAGAAACCCAAAAGGACAACTCTATCTTGTTTTACCAGGTCGCTTTGGGTCGAAATCAGCTCATAGAAGTGAATTTTATTAATAATTATTAAATAACAAAATAAACACTTTCAGCTTTTTTTCCCTTGAAAATGTAGTAACTGCAGCATGACCTTTACAGTTCCATTTATGTTTTAAGAACCAGTATGGCCAAGTTCACATCCACTCATGTAGAGACAGCCTCATTCAAGACACATAAAACCACCCTTGCTTTTAGACTGGGAGTGCAGTAAATCTAAAGAGTAAATTTGAGGATAATTAATTAATTTAAAATATTAAATCTGGTTATTCACAAACCGCTTTTTTTCTGCATTCAGGCTTCTCACGATTTATTTAAAATTTTTCTGATATATTTTTTTACAAAATGAGGTTAAATTATTCTGCAGTACGTGAACTATTGCATGACTATCTTCAGGACATATTTTGACTAATTAAACCGTCATACTGTTTGTTATCAGAAAAGCCAACGTATATCGTTACAACATAAATTGCAAAGTATATTTTTTGTATATTGAACCTATACCAAGTAGTAGTTATATACACTTTTTTTTTATTAAATGAGGTTCCTCCCCCAAGTTTGCCTCACATACTGTCTAACTGTGTGTTAATTGCGGAAACTTTTGTCTGACTCTTGATGCTTCAATTTCTTCTGCTTTCTTTTATGACAGCAGCTGTACGGAAACTAAAAGTCTGAATATGAACATTAATATGCATTCAGTTTCAGTTTCCCATTTCAAATTGGAGTTTGCTCCATTAGCCCCGCCCCTGCTGTTAGCCAATGGGGAAGTCTACAGCAAAGGTCAGAGGGTACTTCCGCTAATGTCTACACCGGAAATCCCCAAATAGGAAACTTGTTTGAGGGCACAGTACCTCAGACGGCAACAAGAGATAAGTCCTGTGCGTTCTCAGGGTGTTCAAGGTAGGACATCCAGTGGGGACTGACAAAACTCCCTACCACAGACCAGAGGGGACCCCAAGATAAGGTCCGTGCCTGTGACTTTTTGTTACTTGTGGTAATAATGAGCCCATGGAAGAGTCAGGCATAAGGGCAGAGGGCCACGGGCCTGGTACTGTGGAGCTCAATCGTAGTTCATGACAGAGAAGAATTCCAGACCCTGCAAGAGTTAAGGTACAGATACTGAATGGGGTCTGAGGGACCACGCACCTCGGGGTGGGGAAGTTCCATACAATATTCTGCCCCATGTAGTCAGCCATTGGAAGCCAGGGCCGAGGGTCTTCGTTCAGGCATTAACCTTTAGGGTACAGTCACCTGGTACTGAGAGAAGCGTTCAAGTCCAATTAGGAGCCCTGGAAGGCCCTTTTAGTGATAAATGAGGACACCTGCTATTCAGGGTGGCGTTGGGGGAGGGGAGGGGATGGGAGGAGTGGGGTGGGGGAGGGGTGACGGGGTTTGTTGGGGGAGGGGTGACGGGGTTTGTTGGGGGAGGGGCGGAAGTGGGCGGAGAGGTGGGGGAGGGGTGGCAGTGGAGGTGAGGGTGGTGGTGGGGAGAGGGGGAGGGGAGGTGGAGAGGGGGAGGGGAGGGGCGGGGAGGGTGGAAGGGGAAGTCCCTTCTGAACGCCCTGGGAGATCCCAGCCATTGGATGGCCAGATGTTGGGAGGAGATTTATGCTTTGGGGTTCTGTGAGGGGAAGGCTTGGTCTGAGGGCGTGGTCTGTGTTCCCTGGAGGGAGGAGTCCCCAGCCCAGCAGGGTTTCAAGGTGGAGTTGAGTCCACAGGCAACAGAACACTGGAAGAGACACAAATTGCTGTGATTGCCTGTTTTTCACCCTTGTGAGCCCTGCAAGTCAAGGTCTGCTGGAATTACTTCTACCTTGAGAGTCTGAGAAAGGCGCTCATTCTTGTTTCAGGAGATTGTAGCCACGTCACCAGAGGGGGGAGCTCCAGGACCTGCTAGTAATTAAGGTAAGAAATTCTATTTAAGCCTGCAAGGACTACTAATCCTAAACTCATTGTCCTTAGTCAGTCTCACTCAGTCCCTACTGTTAGCCCTGGGATTCCCCTAGCAAGGATTTCAATTATAGATGACCTTTAATTCTTCCTACAAGGGCCCTGGTGATGCAGTGGTTATGCATGAACTGTGATCTTCATGATCAGCAGTTTGAAACCACCAGCAGCTCGGCGTGAGAAGGACTGGGCTGTCTACTCTCATAAACAGTTAACAGCCTCAAACCCACAGGGGGTCGCTATAAGTCAAGATTTACTTGATGGCAGTGAGGGTTTTTTCTTTGTTTGGGTTTTAATTCTTTCTTGGGATCTCAGGCAAGTGAAGCGTTTGTTCTGTGTAGGTAATCTCAGGTGAGCCGAAGTAAAACTCCAAAGCACATCCAGGAGAACACATGTGTTGTCTGAGGTGTGTGGCCCCCAACCCCCCTGGGATACTGGGAGCCAGTGACTCTGAAGTGGATAGAATAGTTGCCCTCTCTCTTCTTCACAGTCTTAATAGCAAAGGGAGACCTTATTTGGAGTGTGCAACAATCAGACAAGAGAAGGTGTCCCAGATCCCAGAGGCCAAAGTAAGGCATGGAGTTGGGACTGTGAGGCCACCCATCTCAGAACTGTGAAGGTTACAAAGAGTTCTGCGCTGTTCTTAAAACTTTCTCCTGGCAGTCTTAAGGTTGATGAAGACTTTGGTCTAAAGAGAGAGCATGTCAGTCAAGTCTAAAGGTTTCAGCCCAGGTCCAGCCAACAGTCAAATAATATAGTATTAGAAATAAGGGAATTGCCATCCCAGAAAAGTGTGGTCCACAGAACAGATGGACTCCAAGGAGAAACTGAGCAGAGAGGGCTAGATGAGATGCCCTGTCCCTTAGCCACTAAAGCCACAGAGAGTTAGTGGACGCCTTATTGTGAATGGGAAAGTTTAAGTCAGGAGAAAGTCTTAGGAACTGCCAGTAGCAAAAGAAATAAAGCTGGAACTTTGTAACCCCTAACAGAACAAAGTAGAACCCTGCTCTACCATCATTCCAACATGCCCTGGGGTAGATTTATCAGACTAATAGTGCTCATCACTTCCAAATCAAGTGTCTGAGCGAGATGATTTTTTTTAGTTTTAGGAGTAAGCCTCAGGCAAATAGAGAGTAGATTCCCATCTGCAGAAGTATAGGTGAGGATCTGAGTGGGGACCTACTTCAGAACAGAAGGGATATAACAGATTAGAACTACAACACTGATGTCAGCCCTGAAATGTCCTAGGCAGAGGAGGTCAGAAATAATATAGTTTATATTGTCTTTAGGAGTCTGATGACCTTAGTCAAGGGGTACAAATCACAACATTAGGAGGTGAAGTCTCAGGTCTGCTAAGTATCAAGATTCTGGACGGGGACTAAGAGATCTGTAACTTCATCATAGTTGGGGCACAGAGAGTCGTGCACTGCCCCTGAACAATATTTAGTAAGGCTGCCAGGCTGAGGAGCACATTCATTCTTGCCTCAGAGGTGTTAGATAGGTGAGGGCTTATAATTGATAAAGTGATACCACTCCAGCAGTAGGAATCTCAGTTAAGGAGTTTGAGTGGAATCAGAGAGAACCACCCACCCCAGGTCACATGGGCTATGGCATCTAGCTTCTGCAGTCAGCCTTGGTAATCCCAGAGTAAGGAAAACTGGATTAGATTCTTCTTCACTTTCTCCCATCATTTCTCAGGGAAGGTGAAGGCTTGATCCAAAAGGAGTGGCTTCAGAGCATCAGAAGCAGAAGGACCCATTTCCTAAAAGGCGAGGAACCAGGTTGAGAACTGAAGGGATCATCCAATCCCAAGCCGTGACAACTGATTCTGCCTGCCTTGCTGTGAGCCATGGAAAGCCTTAAGCTGAGTTTTCTGCCTGTCCACATTACAAATCTTCTCACTAATCCCTTCAGTTTATTGTGGAGAAGGCTGACTAGAAAGATAGGAGACTTGTGAGACCCTAGAGCATTGTCCCCTAAGAGAAGTCTGGTAGAGATAGCCTTTGTCAAAGCTGCCACAGTTTAGCTTACCATCTAAGTCCACATTTCCCCTCTCTCCTTTAGGTTGTGGCTTGCTTTTTCCTCTCTTCTTCCCAAACTCGCACCTGACACCTGCATAAGACATCATGCCTGTTGAAAGAGAGAGCCCTCGCTTCCTTCCTGAACCACCCCTTTCTGTGTCTTTGGAAGATCTGGAAATGAATGGACTACTACCTGAATTTTTGGATGAAGACTCTTCTTCTTCCTCTTCTACAACTGCCGGCTATGATGATGAGGCCACTGAGGAGGAGTCTTCTCTGGAGGAGACCAATGCAGAGGAGATTTCTAATGTAGATCTGCTCAGGGTTTGCCAGGGTCTGCAACGTGGATATGGTTTTTCCTCTTTTTCAGACACTGAATCTGAGGAAGATGACCCGGCAGGGGGCAGTACAAATGCCTTACTGTCCCAGCCAGTCCTTCAAAGCTTTTTCCTATCTCCCATAGAGGAGAAAGTGGCTATATTGGTGAATTTTCTGCTGCTCAAGTATCAAAACAAAGAGCCAATCACCGCAGAAGACATGGTGAATAATGTCATCAAAGAGTACAAAGATAACTTTGCTGAGATCCTGAAGAAAGCCAATGAACGCTTGGAGACAGTATTTGGCCTTGAAGTGAAGGAAGTAGACCCCACCAACCACTCTTATGCGATCTTCATTAAACTAGGTCTCACCTATGATGGCATGTTGAGTGAAACAGAAGGGATGCCAAAGACTGGCCTTTTGATTCTTCTTTTGGGTATAATCTTCCTGAAAGGCAACCGTGCCACTGAAGAAGAAGTGTGGCACGTGCTGAATAAGATGGGCATATATGCTGGGGAAAAGCACTTCATTTATGGGGAACCATTTAAATTCATCACGGGAGAGTTGGTTCAGGAAAATTATGTGGAGTATAAGCAGCTACCAAATACAGAGCCTCCATGTTATGAGTTTGTGTGGGGTCCAAGAACCTACACTGAAATCAGCAAGATGAAGCTCCTCGAGTTTTTAACAAAGGGCTATGGAGGTACCCCAGATTCTCTCCCGGATCAGTATGCAGATGCTCTAAAAGAGGAAGAAGAGCGAGCCCAAGCTCTAGCTACAGCCAAGATTGACTCTAATGCCACTACCGTGTCCTTGGAGAGTCCCGGTGCCACTTCCAGCAGCTGTTCCCCACCCCAGTAAGGTTTGAGACAGAATTTTCACTTTATATTTTGAAAAGCTTTATAAGTGGTGAAGGGTGGAGCTGGAATGGGAATAGTGTACTTAACTATAGTTTCCTGTTGTCTATGGGTAGCTTGGAGATTTAGCCTTTTATGGGATCATTTTTCAGATGTTACTTTTCATATAGCAGTTAAGTAATTTGAGAATCTTAAGTGTAGGCATGGTCTTGTTCACACATTTATTACTGTTTAGTATATTTAAGGATAAGAGTTTTTCTATTTTGTAAAACAGTTGAGAAACACTACTACTATGATCTAGAATAGCATTTAGATCGGTAGTTTGTTAGAACTGAAAAACTCAGCATTCAAAATACTGAGATAAATCAAGTTAAATGTAAAAGATGGTCATCTTTTGGCTTTCTTTATCCCTCAGTCCTTTGTTCTGTAAAATTAAGATACCAGTGCCTGGGTTTCATTAGCTTATTATAGAATGTAAGGAAAATTTTACTTTAATAAATGAGTCTTCTTACCGACTTGTTAATTCTTAAAATACTGTATGAGAATCTATCCACCTCTTCAAATCCACTAGCACAGGGGATGCCAGGATAACTATGATCCAGGCTAATGGATATTAGCATACAGAAGCAGCATCATGTAAATGTATTTCAAGTAATAAGTCTCAAGTCTGAAGTCTGCAGAAATTGGTGGATGTGAGTAGGGGGAAGGTCCAGTTGAGAGTGTCAAATAAAAATTCTGTGAGGTGAGGCAGGCATTAATTTCAAGTAAAACTGGAACATGGGAGTAGGTGTGTGTGGGACTGATGACCAGAGATCAGACTTCCAGATACTGTGTCTCATAGTTGAGAGAAAAAGTTTGAATGAAGAACAATTCCTATTAGTTACTTTGGTGTCAGAAGTAAAAATAGGAATACTTTCCTGCATGTTTGCCTCAGTGAAGTTACACACATTGCTGTAACTAGATGTTACATTCACATCATTTCCAAAGACTTTGCCCATTAGCAGTAATACTCTTTTGAGGTGAGATTCCCAGAAGACATTGGAATGTCAATATTAGATGGATCTGAGAGAGTGAGACCCCAATGCATTCAAGGAATGTTTTAATTAAGATATTTTGAGTATAATTTGGCATAATTTAAAGTTCAGGTGATGGTGAAATGAAAACACCGATGCTTTGGATAGAAGGGAACGTTTTGCTTTGTAAGCAGTAATTTTATTTAATTTGCTCTTCTGTCTCATAAAGCACTTAGTATCCTCTGCAACATCCTATATTTAAAACACGCACACACAGAGGGTAGTAGAGTTTGGGAAAGACATAATCTTAGCCAGGCATTTTGCCAAGGTTTTTGTTTTTAATACTACACATAGAATAGCAGTCCTGTGAGAGAGGGCTTATCAAGGGCTTATCAAACTCATTTCACAGTTGAAGAAACTGAACTAGGAAATACACATTAACTTTTTAAAAATAGTTTCTCTGTTTAGGATATGCAAACCAGAAGCCTACACAACGTCAACTGTTTCTCCATGTACAATTCAGTGACATTGGTTACATTCTTTGAGCTGTGCAACCATTCTTACCCTCCTTTTTCCTGGGCTGGTCTTTCTCAGTTAAGTAAACTCAACACCCCTTAAGATTCCTGTCTAATCTTTCTGAGTTGCTCTTGTCAATTTAATCCCATATAGAAAGATTTTAAAAGAGCATAATGCTTAAGGTAGACAATTCTTACTAATTTAGTAACACTACGGTTTTGTTGTAAGGTTTAAGAATTACTCGACAACGTTTCAGGAGTTCATACAGCCTCTATGACTAGAGTCCATAAGAATTTTTGATGGGAGTGAGACTAGACCCCTGGGGTGAATTTGCCTGGAATACACTATACCACGCCTCCCACCCTGAAGCCAGCCTTCTGCCTCTTAATTTTTCTTTTCAGTACTGTTTAATGTCTCTCAACTGATAAAAAGAAGGACCCTGAGTCTGAAGCACTATAAGCAAGCCTTAAAAAGAAAGTGAACAGGAGAATAAAACACAGTATTATCCACATGTTGTACCACAGGACTAGCCCGTGCTACTGAACTATGAACAAAACCATTATTTGTCTCTTACAGGTAAAAGCATTTGAAAGCCTTGATGCCATTTCCAGATCTCTCCCACCTGGCAGCAAACATAAAGACCCATGTTGAGATGTCACAACCACCTACTGGAATCAGTCGGAATCCTTGGTTTACCTGATGCCAACCTCTGATACCCCACATCAGATGTTATGTGCACCAAAATAAATATTTTGTTATACCATTCAGATTTCCAGTGGTTAGTGTTTTGAACAGCTGACCTTGTGGTTAGCAGTCCAACGAATAACCCACTACATCACCACGGCTCCTCTTAAGATCTATAGGACTATTTAAATTCAAGTCAGAGTGATCATGTCAGAAGATTATGACAACTATTTGGGGGAATTCCAAAGGGATAATCTTGATAGATTTTTCAAAGGAAACAGGGAAAACATTGGAGCTTATTCAGAAGAAATTTTAAGAAAATTGAAAACGTCATGGTGACTTTGCTAGAGTACACATATCTTCAATGATCTCTTCATGAGGGTCATATCATAAAAACTAATTTTTCTGGAATTAGAGTATGATTAAATACAACCTGAAAAATACAGAAATTAGATTTAAGGGGGTGGTATTTGAAGATTGTCATTTTTTAATTGCCAAGTTAAAAAACATGTTTTATAGTTTGTATTCTCACAGGTTAAAGTATATGAAGACCTACACATTTACAGGTAGCAATAGGCTCAAACAAGAACAATTGTGAGGATGGTGAAAGGTCAGGCGGTATTTTGTTTTATTATACGCAAGGTCCCTATGAGTTAGAACTGACTGGATGGCACCTAACAACAATTCAGTTATTCTACAGCTAGAAAGCTGGATATAGAGATCTCCTCAAAGTAAAATTAGATGGTTTCTTAAGGCCAAATGGCATCTTATGGTTTTTAAGTTCTTTGCACACTGGAAATTGGATGTTCTGTAATTTGGATGGATGTTCAACATTGCTGCCAGTTACTCAAGTAGGAAGTTGGCCCCAAATCAACTAAGTAACTAAAATCACTACCATCAAGTTGATTCCAATTCATATGAATACTCTATGAAAGAGTAGGATGACCTCTTTAGGTTGCTGGGACCTTACATCTTTCCAGGAGCAGACAGCCTGATCTGTCTCCAGCAGAGGCATTAATGGGTTCAAACTTGATTTTGCAGTTAAATGCTCAATGCCTTTACCTAAAATGTCAGATTAGTTATTGGGATAAAGGCGTAAATGACTGGGAAATTTGCCTAGATTGTTCAAAGCCATCTTTGACTTTAGACTGTTTGTGACTAAATGTCAGTGCATTATTTCCCAGTTTCAGTTGAAATGCTTGTCACTTAGCCCACAGCACCCATTAGTCTTAGACATGTTGTAATTTTCAAAATAATACCTTCTCTTTAGTTGCTTTATATTGATTACTCCTTTTTTTGGGAGGCATAGGGGACTATTAGGAGATACTGAATTCAATTGTGTTTGTAATCAAGGACAATAATTTAATAGGAAACTTTCCATAAATCTTATCAATGTATGGGAACGCTTGTTATCCTAGCATGTAGTCCAAGTTAATTTTGATAGTAAACCAATTGCATTTTTTAAATTGTAGTTCACAACTTTTAAGAATTCATTGCAGTTCTGTTTTATCTAATTTTAATTATAATAATTTTTTTTAAATGGTTAATTTTCAACAGACATGAAGGAAAAGTCATAAAATTATTTAGGTAACAAATTTGATATATAGAATTTAGCAAGTGTATGGTCGAGTTTTGTATCATATATAGTTTCTTTAGTTCCTTTCATTTTCTTCCAAGTAGCTGGATAATAATAGAAATACAATTTCTAATAATTCTCAAAAGTGCAATTCTTTAAAAGTTGAATAAACCTGAATAAGATAAGGAAGACCAAAGAAGAATATGCATTTGAATCATGGTGCTGACAAAGAATACTGGAAGTGCCGTGAACTGCCAAAAGAACAAACAAATCTGTTTTGGCAGAAGTACACCAAGCATGCTTCTTAGAGACATAAATGGCCAGACTGTCTCACATACTTTAGACATGTTATGAGAGACCTGTCCCTAGAGAAGGACAGCATGCTCAGTACAGTAGAGGGGCAGAGAAAAAGAGGAAGGCCCTCGACAAGATTGACAGTGGCTGCAACGATGGCCTCAAACATAAAAACAAACGTGAAGACCTGGCAGTGTTTCCTTCTGTTGTACAAAGGGTCGCTATAAGACAACAAATTCAAAGGAACCTAACAACAACAACAGATAGTCAATCCTTAGTTTTATTTTTAAACACTTTACCCCCATGCTGCTTTTATCATTTGTGCTCATCCCATTGCATTCTAATAGCTATTTAGTTGTGGGGTTCATGGTAGGAAAGAAGGTTGAACTTTTTATCATTTTACTCAAAAGGACTGATGTGCTGTAGTGTTGTCGAAGGAACTACCGAATAAAAGAATGCCTTGGATGGACAATAATCCTCTAAACTGCCAAGGCTCCTGGGGCTTGTCCAAGGCGCGGACATCTGTAATATAAAGGTGGGTGAAGGGGGGCAATGGGCAGTGTGAGGCAGAAAACAACATTAATACATAATTGATCAAGGATAAAGGATGGAGGGGGAAAAGGAGCTAATACCAAGGGCTCAAGTAGAAATGGTTTTGGAGATGTTGATGGTAACCTATGTACAAGTGTGCTTAATACATTTGAATGATGGATTGTTAAAAGATTTGTAAAAGCCCCCCCGCCCCCAATAAAAAAAGATTACTTTTTAAAAGTCATGCAAATAACAAATGCCCTTGTTAAACTGACAAGGGTGGCTGGGATGCATGTGACCCAATACAGGAAGCATCATTTATCATCTTATTGTGTACCTCATGCCTCTAGCATCAGAGTGATTAGATCTTCAGATACCACTTCCAT